CCACTTCGCCTCCCATACAGTTCTCGGCAACCTCTCCTCTCCCATCCCGCAAACGCACACGAAACAAGAGAAGAATAGACGAAATCAAGACGTTGACTTGGTCTCTGTCCTTGCTGCAAGAGGCTCACGAGGCTTACGAACGATTGAACCTGCCTTGCAGCTTGGACACAGGTTTGAGACGAGGGGTTTCGACAAGAGTACGATGCATACTACAAGAAAAGGCGTTCTGCTGTAGGCGCCTTGTTTCGAGGAAAATAGACCTTTGCGGACTATCGCCGAGGCAAAGAATTGTCAGGGGGGGGGGGTCTCTCTTGTCTTACGTGGTGACGCTTGTCTTTCTTTTTGAGGGCAATGATGATTCAACCGATGCGCAACGATTAAGCCCAGACAATTTTAGCGAGGGTTCTGTCTTGGGTGATCGACAAATGCGTTCTATATCACAATATTCGCGAAAGCCAAAACACAGCAAGCACAAACCCAACTGTACCCATCACACAAAAAATAACACAACGACGTCAGGTTGGACAAAGAGAGCACTCCCACCATGCCCAACTATGGTAATGTACTCACAGGAGCGCTGCGAACGTTGAACTGTTCGATCTCCCTCAGGGAGAGGGTCTTGGTGATGGACCTGACCTTAACTCGGCAGACGGGGCACGCGCTCTCGGTCTTCGTCCACTTGTGGATGCACTTGATGCAGAACACGTGGTTCTGTGGAAGAGAGAGGATCGTTCCAACCGAGGGTGACGGGCGGGGGACAGCGGCAACCACCGTGGACAAAATATGCGCCAATCGCAACAGCAGCAACAGCAGCAGCAGCAGCTACGGCAAGAAGAAGAACCAGAACAACAAGAAAACACCACCAACAAAAGCAAAAATTCAGCAATAGCAGCAATATTTAGTTCAGCAACAGCACTCAAGCATCTGAGGATACCCCTTTCCTCGTCTGGAAGCAAGCCCTGACAAATGACGCACTCCCCGCCTGCTACCATGGCCTTGCGACCGGCCAGCGCCAGATCTGCTTCCTCCGTTAGAGGGTTCGGCCTGAAAAATCGTGACGAAACGGGTGAAACGACGAAGAAGAAGAGATGCATCAACAACGCGTACATTCCGTGTATGTCAAATAGTGAGGGAGGTCGGGAGAAGGGCTCAAGTAATGAGGGGAAACAAGGACAGGAGATGGATGACGGGTGCCTCTCTCTCATTTTGTCTCTCTCATTCTGTGTGTCTCTCTCTCTCTCTCTCTCTCTCTCCCTCCCTCCCTCCCTCCCTCTCTGTCTATCGGTATGTGTCACTCCAAGTATTCTATGCTGTACGAGCGTTGTCTGCCACATACTGCTTCCAAAGGCCACCAGATACCGTACCTCAACACTCGGGGGAGATATAGGGTTTCTCCCCTGCGTTCCCCAGTCTTCTTGAGACTCTTCGATGAAAAAAAATCAATGGGAGGGCGATTCTGATGAAAATACCTCAAGAATCACGTCTCACAATCATGCGCACCATTCATCAGGTAAGTCCACGATCGGACGGCCGATCGCGGAAAAAATAGATACTGTAGGCAAAATTCCAGCTCAATTTCTCATCTACTTCGAAGTTGTACAGTATATTTTTTCAGGCTGACTTTTTACCGGCGGAGGAGGATGGGTTGGTGGCCACGGTGGCAGGCACGCGCGTACCAGATGAAGACACCAAAAAATGTTCAACATGTGCCGAACAAAACAGCCGTAACCGCGAGAGTCCAACCAGTCATACACATGGACGTCGGTGGAGGTTTCCCACCCCCGACTTCCTTCCGTGTGCGCTCGCAGGAACGCATCAAAAATTATCCGCCACGACACATGCATGCGTGTCGTGGAGTCCAAGCACAACGACAACTACACACACCTTTCCCCTCTCGGGATGGTGACCGTGCCTCCTCCCCGCGGGGTCGNCCTCCTCTTCCTCTTCATCGTCACCTTCTCTTTGATTGCGCCGCCGTTTGCGGTGGCTCCTTGGTCCGTTACCGCTACTGCTACCGCCGCCTGAGACTGGTGAGGGGGGGGAATGGCGATAAATAATATGCGAAACGGTTGAAGCGGTGAACATCGAGTTTTCTTCCCGCTCTCCCGTAGGTTTCACTGCGGTCGAACGATCGGCTTCTCAGGAACACGACGTCTCAGTCTCGAGGCAAGCGCTGCGCAATACACAAGCAGCACTGCCGGCGAAAACACCTACATAGATCGAGAGCAAACCTAAAGGCATCGCCCAAAAAGGCCCAAAAACACGAAGAGTCGAAAGTCGGTAGAGGTCTTCGAGGGGCATTAGATACACGAAACCATTCACAATTAGCAGGTCGACGTGACGAATTGGGTACTACAGATTGCGGCTAAACACGTCAACTATGGACGAGAAGCTCAAGCGCTGCACCAGCGCACACCTCCTGATGTCGTTTCTCCTGCAGCTGCAGCAGCTGCGTTGCGCCGCGCGATCAGCAGGGGTGGCTCTGGGTAGGCCCTGGTGATGCTACAGGGGTGCGGCGTAGGGGCCGTGCCGGGGTAGTACTTGGAGTAGCCGGGGTTGATCCAATGCGCGTTTGGGGCCTTGGCGACGTTGTTGTTATTACTGCTTCTGCTGCTGCTGCTGCTGCTGCTGCTGCTGCTGCTGCCGCCACCGCCGCCGCTGTTGTTGTTGCTGCTGTTGCTCCTGTTGTTGCTTTTGTTGCTGTTGTTGCTCCTGTTGTTGCTGTTGCTGTTGTTGCTACTGCTGCTTCTGCTGCTATTGCTGCTGCTGCTGCTGCCGCTGCTGCTGTCGCTATCGTCGCCGTTGTTGTTATCCGCTTGCATCCTCGGGGGTGCCATGCTGACGTGATGGCACGGAACTCCGTGGACGACTCCGGTGGGTCGCTGGAGCAAAATGTTGCTCCGATTTCTCCAGCGGTTGCGGAGCTGAGCCAGCTGTCTATGCGGCTAGCTGTCTTGCGCCCGGTCTCGCCGTCATTGCTTGTTATTATTGTGCTTCGGCAGTGAAACTTGTCGTTCCTGTGGTTATAGCGGGTACTTGCTGCTTGTGGTGTTTCCGCGGTGCAAAGGGATAAGGATGGAAAAGAAAAGCAACGGGTGGCCAGGTAAGAAGAGCCGATTTTTCTCGCTACCTATACATTGCTGAACATACAGACATCGGTTTTCCTGCAGTACTGCAGTGTGATGACTCGCAACCCGCTCGTGATCTGTACAGGCAACTGCCCCGAGGATTATCGTTGGTAAAAAGTTCCCATCTCGTCGCGAGCTATCTCCAAAGATGCGTTTAACACTGAAAACCAGGACCACTGAACCCCATGCTACCTCGCCGACGAGACATCCTCGAACAACAGTACTTGCAAGAGCGGCACTCTGCGATGCAACATGCTCCAACGTCTGCGACGACTGAGTCACGGCCCACAGTCCCTCTAGATCCGGCTCTTTCGCCGACCAGAACCATCTGCGTCCACAGCTACTACACCATGTATGAGGGCCACAACGCAACACACACTTACACGCACACACGTCGGGCGCATCGCACACACGGCGGTGTTCAAGAACCTGTATAAGTAGGTCGTAACGAACAGAGCAGTGCATCGAACCGAGTGCCAGGTGCGCAGTTGGTTACAGTTGGTGGAAACATGTTATATTGTGGACCCTACAACGGCAGCAATCTACAAAACAAGAACGGATTGTGTAATGAGGTGTTTGCTGTGGATTTTACCTACGATTGTCAGAGGCAACGGGCACGCTTTCACTCCATCAAAAGCGTGGTAAATACCTTTTCCTCCTTACCCCCCGACTACTGGTGGTGTTATCGCTGCTGCTGCGTGCTGCCAGAACATGTAAACGAGCCGTCATTGCTACTGCTGCAAGAGCCGACTTACAATTTGCGGACATATTGATATTTCCCCTGCCTGGTTCGGAAGATCAACCACTTCGGTCCCAAGGATCCTCGTCCGCACGACCAAAATCTCCACCAAGCGTGAGATAGGTCAGTTCTCTCTCTCCCTTGCGCCCCGCACTGCTCTGTCTCTGCTGCTCTGCTGCTGTGCTGCCTCTATCTCCTGGCCGGGGACGCGATGACCACTTCCCCGAACCAACATGCAAAATGCGGCGGGACTACGGGGAAACAGCACATCATCAAGATCTTTTTTTAGATCTTAGATCTTAGACCTCACATGTAGATCTTAGACATCTAGGCATCAGAACATCAGAACCAACGATAACTTGGCTGGCGCAGCCTTTTTCACTCTCTCTGGCGCGCGTCCAGAGACAGCAGATCTGGTGCACAGACGGAGCACAGCTGTGGGCTACCGTACATAGACTATCATAGCAGCTGCAGATGAGGTGATTTGCGGACAGCAGTCCTCTCTCACTTCGGTAGCCCCGAGGGACACGACAAGTGCGATCCTCTTGTTTGTTCGCTTCAGGTATCGTAATTTTCTCCCACCGATCCTTTGTGTGCATGCGCATTGCGAGCCTGGCCCCCCGTGCTTTTGTGGAGTCTCATTATACCTCACTCCCGTCAGCGGCGCGAACAAGACTCACCGAGTTATCCCGGTAAGACGATAAACGACAGGTCCGATCGAGTAACTGCTTTTTAGACTACACATCATGCTATGTATGTACATACGTATGTATGTATGTATGTATGTATGTATGTATGTATGTATGGATGTATGGATGGATGGATGGATGAATGGATGTAGACTAGACTATGTAGGTCGAATTCGTGTGTGGAGTGGTCGGCCACTCGGCGCCTTTGACTTTCGAACCGACCCGATACCTACAATAGGAGGCTCCTATATACGCCGGAGTACATTGAAACGCGACCGGTTCACACCGTCCTACCTGGACTCAGGGAGAACTACAGTACATTGTGGTGAAAACACTGTGCGATACGGTGTTGAATAGAAGAGTTATTTCCAAGAACTTAACACGACAATAAGTGAGGTTGGTGGCGCTACCAACTGTACACCGCTCCGCGGCCTCTCTTTGAATCTTCAAGGGGGGAATATAGTAGTTCGATCATTAAAGCGCACTGATGGACCTCTCCTCAACGTTGTAGGACGGTGGAGCCTCGTCCCCGGTCAAGGACACAAGAAGACATTCCACCACCGCCGTCAAGAACGACACAGCTTCATCGCTTCCTCTCAGTCGCCGAGCACATCTACCATGGGCCCCCCGAGGCGGCCGGGAGGAAGAGACGATGAACCCAGGTCTCACTGGGTCGATCCTGGCTACTGCAAGTACTACCCCGGCACCGCGCCGACGCCGCACCCTTCAAAGATCACCAGGACCTACCCCGCGCCAACTTTGCTGGCCCCGCAGCAACAACAGCAGCAGCAACAGCAGCAGCAGCAGCAGCAGCAGCAGCATAATGCGCTAGTAAATGAAGGCGAGAAGGTTCAATCACATCTATGGCGGGTTTCCCTACCACAATTTTCGTTCTCTTGCACCTCGGCGTTTCTTCTTTTATGTTTTCGTCGTTTCTGTCTGTGCTAACAGCTTCGCTGCTCAAATCGCGTATACAACCCTGTTTTCTGTCGCCCGACAGGCAATGACTATTACCGTGGGGGTAGGATCCACTCTGTTTCATTATTTCAACAGGGACTCAAAACATCTCCAAACTGACATCGACAGCCCCCACAAAGCAGGATAAAACACGTAACGTGTTTCTCTTCGCAAGTATTTAGTCTAGACCTCCTGCGGGCATCCTGCGGGCAGGATGTATAACAAGATTGCACACCTCCCCCTCCTTATGCTGCCTCAAACAATGATGCCAGTGTGTCGCTTCCTGCTCTGTTGTAGAGCACAGTGTTGTCCCCATTGGCATGCGGTGGTGTGGAATTGAAAAATGCCGTCGTTCACCCTTTACATGGGGCTTTTCCCCTATGCTACACGCACTGTCCTCGCTAATTCCTCCACTTCTCGGCACGGATACTAACGTCAGCGCCTCCGACAACAATTCAGGCGGCGACGACAGTAACGACGGCGAAAGCAACGATCCAAACTGCCTTAACAACAATAACCAGGACGCCGGCGCTGCCGCAACGGCAACAGGTAAGAACAGGGTATCTGGGGTCACAAAAACGAACGAGTGCTCACTTGTATATTAGACCGTCCTTGATTTCTCATACGATCAGGCTGACGACCAGCATATTGTTCAACCTCAAAACCATCGACCGGAGTCGATACCCCAACTTCCGTAACGTGACACGCACGAGATGGCAGTTGTTTATAATGTTCTGAGCGAGACCGGCGGGTAGGACATGTCTCACCGGCGTCACGTGGTATTAGGCGTGCAGCGCGCAGCCGAACCACGACTTTTCGAATCTTTGCACGGCAAGCCCTTAACATCCTTGTCCCCAACTGTTTCTCCACTGCTGCTACTACCGCCATGCTGCACGTTGGCAGATAATGCCGTCAACGCGGCCCGTCCGAGGACGAGGCGGAAGAACCCTGAAAAGGACGATGATGGGGACCGCTGCCCGATTTGCCAGGACCTTCTGCCGGAGGAAAACAGGGGCATCCTAAAATGTGTGAGTACGAAATCCGACACGTGTGTATTTTTTTGTGGTTTTAGTCTTGGGGGCGTGGTTGGCACACAGCAGGTAGAGCTCTTTCCACGGAACGTCCCATTCACACAGCGGCAAGATTTCGCCCATTAGTGCGGATGGGTGTAGGTCCAATGGCACGAGGAACGGTCTCATGGTCGAAGGAGCGCAAGCAGGGAACACAAGACTACCAAACGAAGCCCGCCCATGCAAACAATGTCAAGTGGGCAAATGTCCCCTCGGGGTTGACCGAAGTGTCTCGGAAGTGTGCAGGGTTCGAATTGGACCGCCTTTCTGGAGGAATACAGAGAAGCATCGTCAAAGCCCGAGCGAATACAGCAAGACCCGTCGGAGCCCAAGCAACACGAGTATGCAAGCGACGTTTCGCTGGTGGTCTAGCTGACCATAGCACGCCAAGCACCCCAGCATGGCAGAGCGCATAGCGCAGCAAACGAACTGTTATATGAAGAACGGGACAAAGTTGCTACTGATTATTTTTGGAGCGGGAGGTTGATTTGTGTCATGTCAAAACTGAGCTAAATGAACCGGATTTTTTATGTTGTTTCCCGCTACGATCTTGTTTTGGTATTAGCGGTTTTGGCCAGTTCTGCCTCTGTTGGTGCAGCCCATCGGTTGCATTGCATGAAGCCTGTGAAATCTTCACACGAAGACCTCCGGGCTGTGCGATTGTTCCTTGGCGCACGAAGCCACACACGTACAGACCGCGGAGCACGCCCCGGTATTTCTGCCTCCGGGGCCTTCAGCTGCGTGTTGTTGTCGTTTCACTTTCAAGAGGCTTCTCTCTACCACCTGCACTCCATTTCGCTCAAACAGAGACAGCGGTTTCGTGCTATTGTGTGCGGTGATTCTGATTGTTGTTCTCTCCTTCTTGTTTCTCTGTTGTCGGCCCAGGGACACGTGTTTTGCTTGAAATGCGTTCTCCAGTGGGTCAAGAAGCAGCAGAACAGCTGCCCCACATGCCGCGCGGAGGTGTGCCACATCAAGAGGACGCTCAGCTCGGCGGAGGCCCTCGAAAAGAACGTGAATAGGCTTAGAGAGTATCCTGTCAACTGGGCCATTTGTTTCCGTTTCTGTTTCGTGTGTTTCGTAGTCACGTTTCCTTTGTTTTTTTCTTCAATGTTTTTTTTATTGGATCCGACCGCCGCGCAGGTGTGGTGGTCGAGTTTCCTCGTGGCCTACTTACCTCTCAAAATCAATACGCACCCTCTTTTGTTCGGACGGCAGTAGTAGTTGATCTTCTGTGTCCGGTCATTGTTTTTGGTTAGATGGCGTGCAACATCGCAGCGCCTGCTGTTTGCACCGGGTGCCAAGCAACTGCCTGTCATCTAACTGCATACCGCTGGCGTCCCACGGATTTTTTTTCTATTGTTCGTTGTCGATTGTTCTTGTCATTTCCGTGCAATCTTCTCGGGTGGTCAATCCGCGGGGCAGGCTGACCGGAAACCTCCGAGGAAAGCCCAGCTGAAGAGGGCGAAGAGGAAGTCTGCTGTCGGCAAGCCCTCCCCGGTGAGCCTTCCTTTCCACAAAAGAAGATGTTGCGTAGCCTTTGATCGGGCGGCTTGAGATCTCTCGAAACACCGGAAGATTTCGTTATCATCTCACGAGAGTCACTGACACTACAGTATCGTAAGGTTGACAACAACTGCTGTGCTGAACATTTTCGCAGCAGGACATGTTGATGGTCTTTTGAGTCATTTGTGTTGCGGCCTATGCACTGCAACCTTTTGGGTCCAAACGCGTGTTTTTCACGTTGCGGATATAGTATTTCGACGGAAGGATTTCATCGGAGCAAACAGGAGACCTTGTCTTCCCACCTTGCCTCCTTTCTCTTATTTGACGATGGTCAAGTAGCACATGCTCACCGACTGACAGGGGGATAGATACAGCGAAAGCGACGTGCTCCAGCAGGTGACCAATGGTCACGTAATAGGAGGAAGGACAAAACAGGAGGAGCTTCGTTGAGTTTTTCTAACCCACAGCCCAATTTTTGTACTTTCCAAGTGTCGGAGTGGTGTTAAAGGCCGTCCTCTCAAGCTGCCGTCGCCGTCAACGGTGACAGCATTGCTGCCGGTCGCCCTGCTGTAGCCATACCGATGATGCCCCGTGCTGTTGTTGTTTGCGCTGATGGGTCTACTACACCGGGCATCGAACACAGAAGCCCGACATCACGACCGAGAAGATTCGCGTCCGCAAGAAGGTTAGCCGGGAACAAATCAGGCAGAACGCCACGGCGCCACACCCTCAGGTGAGGAGGAGGAGACAGCCCCAGAGGCCGTCCCACTCACCGTCTCCCGGATCTTGATCGAATTGACTCTTCCGCTCTTCCGCCGGAGCGCTGCCTACAGCGTTTGCGCCTCAAAAAACACCTCTCTTACCCGAATGGTTTGTTGCTTTCCAATGCGTTTTCTCTCGTGCTTGAGGCATGCATCACCACACGAAAAATGATAATTGTGCGCGGTTCTCAATACGACGGGCTCGGGTAAACTTACATGAGATCGGTGCCGCAACAATAACATATTTGACACATATACTTCGCCGAGACGTGTGAAATCTCTAGCGTGCGCGCAAGCGTAATAATAATAGTGACGAACAGGGAGCGCGCCCCGACACGCGGCGTGTAGAACCACCACCCAACACCCGGAGTCGGGAAAATCAAAAGACCCACATACCCCAGATGTGAACTCCCGGCATCGTGAGTTTCCTAGGGTCCAATACGGCGCCACTTGTGTACTTTCATACGGATCGCAGAGGAGGCTTTCTGCGCCCCCTTGAAGCGGGGATTTTCGGCTGAGAAGGCACGAGCGAGGGCAAGAGAGATATTGCGAGGGAGGCAGGAGTAAGAGGAGCGGCAAAGGAACTTCTACTGTAGGGTGACAAGACTGCGATACCTGACACGCAGATCATTCGTCCTTTTTCTTGGGACAGGCGCCAGGGGGGTTCCTGCACGCGCAGGAACAGACGGAGGCGGCAGCGGAAGCAGCACAGGCGATGCCTGACGCACAGCAAGACCAGGTGGGGGGCAATAGCAAAGGCTTTATGGAGGGCATGCCGTTGGCATCGGCCGTCTGTTGGAGGCCATAGACAACATCGGGAAATTCTACTCGCAATCCCCTTCGTCGCGGCAATCTTTTCCGTTGCCCTCGTCCTTTCCTCCTCCCCGCTAACCGCGGCAGCCGTTTCCATCACGACCTCCTTCCTCTTCCCCCTCCCATCCGACCCCCCACCGCCATCCTCCGCCGGCAATCCAACACCAGGTGGAAGCCATCGTGAACCGACAGGTAGCTTTCGCGGTGTTCTCGAGTTCCCCCTCTCCTCCCCCTGCTACCCCGCAAGTTCCCTCGCCCCTGCCGCCGTCGTCACCGCATTCTCTTGCGACGGACCTTGAAGACCGGCGGGTAGCGATCGAGGCCGACCGCCGGGCATTGTTTGAGTCAACCTCAGCTTTCAGGGGGCACCGCAGCGTCGGCGGGGGGTCCTACCTTGGAGGAGCCGGGGGGGCGAGGTCGATTGATGACAGCGGAGGCGGGGTCGGTGTCAGCGTCGGCGAGGCAAGCCTTGACATGAGAGTGGAAAGCGACAGCGGAGGCGGCGGCGATGTCGGCGCGGTTGTTGGAGGAGCCGGGGGGGCGAGGCCGATCGGTGACAACGGAGGCGGGGTTGGTGTCAATGTCGGCGAGGCACGCCTTGACGTGAGAGTGGAAAACATCAGCGGCAGCGGCGGCGCGGTCGGTGGTCGCGGATGGAGATCAACTGCGAACATAGACAACAGCAGCAGCGGGGTTGGCTCTGGAAACCGTGACGCGGACGACAGCAACAGCAGGAACAACAACGGCGTACGCACCGGCGGGGCGGCTGAAGCCGCGGCCCAAGAATCTAGCTCGAATCGTGACGTACAAGGAGCAGCGACGTCGAGCGGCGGAGACAATCTCGACCATGACGACGACGACGACGACGACGACGACGACGATGGTAGGGGGGACCGTATTGGCAACATCACCACGCTCGGGCACTTGCTGTCGGTCTTGGGCAGCGGTAGGATGAGGGTGTCACCAAACGGTGGTATTGGTGGTGTTGATGGTGGTGGTGGTGGTGGTGTTGCATCCACTGCCCCTAGCTCTGTCCCGTGCTCACCGCTTCTGCCCTCGTACAGCAGCAGCAACGATATCAACAGCAGCAGCAACAACAACAACAACAACAACAACAACAACAACAACAACAACAGCATTAGCAATAGCAGCCACGGCGTCGGGAACCCAGCCACCGACCCGGAAACCAGAAGTGCGGCGCAGGCGGCCATGGCAGCCTCTCGAGCGGCGTCTCGGTACACCTCGCTGGCGCCAGAGCAGGCATTGGCAGTGCAGGGACTGGCAGCCCTCAAGTCATCGCCGACGCTGCGGCAGCTGCGCGCGGTTGCCAGGCTTGTGGTCGGCGGCAGCGCCTCAGCCGGGATGGCAGGGGCTCCGGCTGTGGCAAGCGTGTCACGGCGACAGCAACCGCAACACGGGTTAGGACAAGAGAGCGGAAGATACCGGGACGACGACGCAGGGGTGTCGGGGAGAGGAGACGGCGGGAAGAGCAACAGCGAAGAACGGGGTAGTTTGCTTCCAAGGATCGACAGCGACGACAACCGCAGCATCAACGTCAGCGGCAGAGGCGGTGGCAACGGCGCCGAGGAAGAGCCCTGTATCGAACCCGTCGCTCGACGAACGGCGGCGGTGGAGGGGGACGTCAGTGAGTCAACAATTCTTGTGCAGCAGCGCTAGGACTAAAACGTTTCGACCAAAGCAATCGACGACAACCCGTTGTACATGTGATAAAGTCAGCGATCATGCCTTGCCTTTTTCCGTACGGGTCGTCATGAATGTGCAGGCCACACGGAAGACGGCGACGAATACACGTTTCTAGGAAGGAACGACAACAAAACTACTGCGGTGAGTTTTTTTTTTGCGCCCTTAAGCGAGTCGAGCACAATCAATGCTTTCGGCAGTAGTTCAAAGGAAACATCACATGATTCCCACCCGGCACCATTTCAACTGAGGCCGGATGATGTCGTGGCCGAATGTGATATTTTTCTCGAATGCCTGCCTTGCTGATGGGTTTCAATAATGTCATGGACAGTTTTGAGGCGTTTCTCCGAAATGCCCCGTACAATGAACCAACTACATACATCGTGACGCCATCACCGACTAACTTGAAACACCGACCCCGAAACGTGGTATCTTTCCCTGACGGGCTCCTCGCGCCAGGGAGAAACCACCGGCTCGGCTTCTTCCATCCTCAGCGACTCTTCGGCTGCCGTTGCCTGCAGCTCTCCGACGTCCATTCCCGAAAGCTCTGCGCACCCTTCCGGCAACGATGTCGCTGCCCCCAGCGGCTCCATCAACGACGGCACAAACACTGCTGTTGCCGGCGCTGAAAATGCCTACGGCGGCGACGCTAACGGTGCCGGGGTAGCAGGTAGTGGCCATGCTGGTGGCGGTATCAGTGTTAGCACGATTGGCGCTGCAGGACCTGGTGGAGTTGCGATCAACTCCGGGAGGGTCCAGTCGAGCCCCCTCAACAACAACAACAACAACAACAACAACAACAACAACAACACCTGCAGCTACCTGACGTGGCTAGAAGCTAGGTCAGACTTCAACCATTGGCCATGGCCGTCGTCGTCGGACGACGACGACGGCGCCTCCGATTGAAGCCCCTTCGACATGCACCTCGGCACCTCGATCCGCCAAGGAGGACCCAGGTGTCTTCGTCACGACCATCCTCGCCAATCAGCGTTCACGAGCACCCCCAATGCGGCAGCCACGGTTGCCTCTGTGGTGGCGGGGGCTGTGGTGGGCTCTGCTGCCGGCGCGGCTAGCGATAACGACGGCCCGTTGTTGGTTGGAACGGTGCACAACCGTCCCAAGGTTCGGGAGGACCTTCGCCAGTCAAAGCACTCGCGGCGCTCGAGGAAGGTGTCGAGCTTTTCCGCTGGGGCTGGGGGGGATTGCAGTGTTTCCACCGTGATGCCGAGGTCAGAAACGAGTTTTAATCGTGATGACGGCCTCTGAAGACACAAAAGCCATCATGACAACCGACGAAGTCTCGCAACAGTGGCGGAGAGGTGCGTGAAAGAGTCCTTGTGACTTGGTGCGTGGGGATGTGTCAAGACTGTGGAGTGAGGGCTCGCACGGTTTCGCTTCCGACTGTCGAGGGGGGAAGAAGATGGTGAGGCGGGGTAGGGGGAGTTCTGCTGAACAGTCTATCAGGCGGATCAGCAAGTAGGTGCCGGCATCGAGAGTGGCTGCCTTTCCCTACCCTATCTTTGTTAGATGTTTGGTTCAAACTTGAACAACGGTTGTCCATTCGAGTCGAAGTGCGCGCTCAAGAAAGAAGACGAGTAAATCACCCTCCCTCTGGTGTTCGTGCTCAATTAAATAGCCTTCGGCACTGGGGCTACTTCGACAGTTGACACAGTTAAGAGCTACACGATGTCGCGTGGCAGCAGAGAGGAGAATCATCGTCTGGACGTCCCTAACATCAAGTCTCTTTTGTGCTCGTTCTTTGATTTAATGTGGGTGGGGAACCACCAAAAGGGGCGGAGGAAAGCTCAGTGTTGGGGGGGGGGTGTACTCATAGTCGTGCATGCCGTAGTCGTTAGACCATTGACCTCGCATCCCTACAAAGCCGGGACGGAGCACGCCGGGTTCTCACCGGACCAGGCTCTCACATCACCAAGCGCGAAGCGCCGTGAGATATTCGGCGAGTCGCATGAAGGGTGCGCTGCATCCTGCTAAGGGTGTTCGGCATCTTGTGCTTACTTCCTTGCGTACGGATGACAGCTGCGTATGAATTAATATATTTTCTGGTGCTTACACTTCCAGAGACAGTTGTAAGCAACTTGTAACTGCCTCGAGGGTGCTTGACCATTTTAACACCACGTGGTGCGATCATCCCCCTTGCGCGGAG